TTAAAATCCCCAGAGCATTGTTGCAGGAACGGTCACTCAGGTTGTACCAGGAGAAATCAGCTATTTCCCATCATGCTGCAGTTCTTGCAGATAGCCCTAAAAACCATTTACTCTCATAATTAATTTGAAATTATGATAGCTAGAGATGACTACATTGTAATTTGTATTTTAATAAATTTGTATTGATTTACTTAATAGTTAAGTGCATTTCAATACCATTGGTTTCCTTTGTAATCCTTTATACTATATTACAAAGTTAAGATTATTCTGCGGGGGGGGGGGGGGTAGGCGGGGGTTTCCACACAGCAAAAGAGTCCTGGGCCAGACAGCCAAGTCGGGGCCTTTCCCTGCTCTCCCAGCCAGGCAGCCCTCGCAGCCCTCCAACTTCTTATCTGTAAAGTAGGGACAGAGGCAGTTGGACCTCACATGATTGAGGAAACGATATAAACACATAGAACAGTGCCGTGCGCAGAATAAGCCTCAGGAAATGTCAGCTATTAGCCGAAAAGTGTTTCTGTGAGATCCAACAAAGGGTAACTGTACAGTGTTCGGGGGTATACACTCTAGAATGATCTCCCAAGGAAGCTCATGAAGTGGTAGGTGGACTATGAGCCTGGAGTGACGAGTTCATCCATCCACCATCCATCCACCATCCATCCTCCTACCCACCAGCCATCCAGCCATCCATATATCCATCCGCCCAATAAAGTTTTCCTGAATGTCTTCTACACGTGTCTCAGCACTAGTGAGGCCTTGAGCAAGGGTATAAATGGAGGTCATGAACCATATGTCTAAATATTTGAAAGTGGCAAATCAAGCCAGAGAAGTGTTGAGTATGTCCTATTCTACTTCAACAAAGACTATGGGATGCCCTAAAATGAGGCCTGGCACTTCATACTGGCACACCGGGCATTTAACTCTCTAGTAGATTCTTGCATGATCTATTATTTTGCAGGAATTTTTTGGGTAGCATAGTTTCCCAGAAGTCCCAAGTGTCTATTTTCTTGATCCCAATTGCATTCTAATTTAAGGTTCTGGAAGCCCTTATGAATGACCATGGAATTTGGGATAGTTGCTGTAGGGTAAGGAAAAATATTAGGCTTTTCTGCCCTCCCGCCATCAGGATGGATGAGGGAGCCCTGTGGTCCTGAATGCATGCCTGATGGCGGGTGCCTGAGGTGGGTGCCCCTGGGCTGAGAGACTGGACTTTTTGGGGGCGGCGTCATGGGGACGCCAGCAGAAGCCGAGAGAGAAGCAAGAGCAGAGAAGAGAGAGAAGGCCGGAGAGCCCAGAATGAAGACCTGCTGGGGGCTGGGAGGTCTGCTAGCCTCCCGGCACCCCAGCACCCCTGCCTGCTGTGTACTGGGTAAATCCCAATAAAAACCTGCAAAAAACTACTGAGGACTCTGACTCCTCCTTTACCCGGTCTGCATGGGATCAAAGAAAACCTGCACAGTGGCCATTCCTGCTCCCTACAGTTGCACATGAAATCTGAATAACACTGCAATGTTAGGCAATTAAGAGTGTGTGTGTGTATGTGTGTGTGTGTGTGAGAGAAAGAGAGAAAGAGAGAGAGAGAGAGATTAATTTGCGGGGTCCTGCCCCAAATAGAGTGTATTTCACTTAGCAGTATACTTAGCTGTACATTTATTTTTAAAAGATTTTTTTATTTATGCACACAAGAGCTGGGGTGTATGTCAGAGGTGCAGGGGGTGAGAGGACTCACCAGAGTGGGGAGCAGGACAGGCGGACTGACTGAAATACACTGCTGAGGGGAGTAGCGGGGGAGACAGGAGAGGTCAGCTGCACCCTGTGGGTCAGCTCCCTGGCCAGGGCTCAGACTTGTACTGCCGATAGCTTAATAGTTCTGAAACTTACCCCCTGTGCCACCAGGGAGGCCCCCTGTGACACATAGTATGAAGCAAATAAAAGTCATGCTAAGAGTATTAATAGACCTTTGGCTAGCTTAGCTGGTATGTGCATCTGGCTAACAGACTTTTCCTTAGCTTGCTATGATGATTTTATTAAAGATGAATGCAGTATCACGAACCATTGAAAAACCCTTTAAATACTGAATAAACCTGTGCTTGGCCTTCAGGAGAATAATTCTGCAGTGATTGTTTCCCCCCACCCCCCCAACTGTAGGCTGTTAAGACTAATCTTGAGATCATCTTGCACCTCAGCGAGGGCCGTGTAGCTGGCCCGTCTTGAACAAGAAAGCTAATCACGATGCTGGGAAACAACCTATTTCACGTTGGGGAGGCAGCGGCTCTGCCCACAGACTATTCACAATGTACATTTGTGAGTAGCACTTAGCTCATTGATCACACAAACCAGTTAAATGTCGTGTGCACAGAGCACTCCATGCAAGTGAGGGGGCGGGGCCTTGACCTGAGGGTGACTTTGAGAATGTCGCGGAGGGGGGGGCTCAGAATGTAATTTTTATGCTCTGAAATTCCTACATGGGGCAGCTCTGCCGAACACGGTGAGGGGATCCCACACCCCCCTCATCACAGATAGAATGACTCTCAGATAAATTCTGTAGACAACCCTGAGTTTCTTTCCTTCTCTGTTCTTGGTGATGGTGATCAGGGTGGGCGGCGAAGGAAGGAAACTGAAAACACTAAGGCTCGTGGTATCGGCTATTTCTTGAGAGCTGTGTGCCAGGCACTTAGTGCAAGTCATATTTCATTGAATCCTCGTTAAGTGAGGGAGACGAGCAGGGTGACTGCGTCTGCAGGGCATGGGTGGGAAATCTGAGACCCAGGGAGATTAAATTTGACCAAGGTCACCTGACCACCAGCAGCAGAGCCACATTCCACCTGGCACCAAAGCCTGGGGTCTTGGCCATGGTCTACATGCCACTTAGCCATGGTCTACATGCCCAGGCCAGAGGTGCAGGGGTGAGAGGATTCCCCAGAGACAGAGAGGGGAGCAGAACAGGTGGAGCTACTGAAATACACTGTTGAGGGGAGCAGCGGGCGAGCCAGGAGAGGTCTGCTGTGCCATGAGGGTCAACTCCCTGGCCAGGGATCAAACTCAGGCCACAGCAGTGATAGCCTGAGACTCAACCCCTGGGCCACCAGGGAGACACCTGGGACCCTTATACACAGCCCATGGGAATGTAAATTGGTGCAGCAGCTGTGGAATAGAATGGCCACATGATGCAAACATTTCTCCTGAGGTGTGTACCCCTGGGAGCTGAAAACATAGCCATACGCACACTTGTACACGGGTGTTCATAGCAAACTGTTGGTGATTGTCCAAAGGTGGCAAACTACTCAAGTATCTATCGACTTGAGAACAGATAAACAAAATGTGGTAGCAACAGGCGATGGAATATTATTCAGCTATAAAAAAGAAAAAAGGACTGACATCACACCATGGATGAACCTGCACATGTGGGAGGGAGAGAACCCCAGAGAGAAGCGCCAGGCAGTGTGCGATCCAGGTATCTGAAACATCCAGAAGGGGCAGATTCACAGACAAAAGTAGGTTAGTGGTTACAGGGCTGGGAGCAGGGCTGGCAAGTGACTGTTAAGGGTCTGCGGTTTCTGCGCGGTCTAATCTCCGCGGTCTAGCACAAGGAGCAACGGTTGCACAACATAGTGAATTACTAAATCCACTGAAATACACCCTTTAAATCAATGAAAAGTGATGTGAACCATGACTTCATTTTTTTAAAAAAGGCAACTTCAGGGGTCTCCCTGGTGGTGCAAGGGGTTAAAATGCAGCACTCTGAAGCTACCTGCAGCTACTGCAGCACGAGTTCAATCCCCCACCAAGGAGCTGACCCACAGGGTGCAGCAGACCTCTCCTGCCTCCCCGCTGCTCCCCTCAGCAGTGTATCTCAGTCGATCTGCCTGTTCTGCTCCCCACTCTGTCGCTGGGGAATCCTCTCACCCCCCGCGTCTCTGGCCTGTACCCCAGCTCTTGTATGAATAAATAAAGAAATCTTAAAAAAAAAAAAAAGGCAACTTTTGGTCAGATCGAGGAGGACCTTAATACTGAACTCAAGGGTCTGGGTTCTCTTCGCGGACAAGCACTGAATGTTTCCAAGGAGGAATGTGCCTTGTTAGGAGCCACAGAATCTTGCCCAGTGCGCGGGACATATCCATGAGCTCCCCTCTCCTCTCCCTTCAGCCCCCCAATGCGAGACCAGATCTCATGTCTCCCGTGGGGAAAAATAACTCTTTTCTGCTCGGCTCCTAATGGAAAACCCACCTGCTTCCAGAACTCCCCTTGCGAGGCGCTCAGTGCTGGCAGCTGCTCCTCAGCACCTCCAGAGCATCTTTCTCCCCCTCCCTGCTCCTCCCTCCTCTGCACCCGCCCTCTCCCTCCTCTTCTCCCTTCTTTATTTTCTCCTTTTCTTTTCTTTTTTTTTTAAAATAATGATTTTCTAAAAAGCCCTCAGAGCCCTCAACCGTATCCAAGGGTACCCCACCTTAGAAATCTGACGCTGGCCTGCCCTGTCTCCCTCCGTTTCGCCTTCCTTCTTCTGGATCTCACCACACACCCAGCAGGGGTTGAACCAGACCTCCCGGTGCGGATTATCTGGGAGACCCACGGCCTCTGTCCTCACTGGCATAATGTTCCAGCACCAGCGGGAACAGCGGCGTCGACTCCCGGGGTCTCCAGAGGGAAGTGTCCACCCAGCATATCCGATGTCTGGTGCTGGAAGTTACAGCTACTGCATCATCGATATTAGGGAGCGAGGGGGCCAGCGTATGGCAAAGTGTCATTTCTAATCACTAGTGGGATTCATCCTTCACGCTCAAATAATTTAAGGACATGTTAGAAGTGTTGACATGGAGAACTGCTTGAAGGGACACAATCCTCTTCCCAAAGGCATCTGGGAAGCTTCCAAGAAATGAAGAGGGGACATAGGGCTCTAGGGGAATTTGGGGCCAGAAGGTGTGGGGATTTCCCCAAGGCCCGCCCCCAAAGCCCGCCTCCAAGCCCCGTAAGTCACACCCCCTCTTTGACTGTGGTCTCTCTCTCACTCTCTGCTGCAGAAGTTCGCAGCTTAAACCAAGGAGTGGAAAGTTCTGCAGTGAGTGCTCAAGGTTAGTTCGCATGGGGCGGGCGGGGGACTACGCTGGGGTGAGGATAGAGTTCTGTTGCCTTTGCACATTTCGGGGCTTTTTCTCTTTCTGATTTCTAGTAACTTCTGTTGGCAGCCCATTTTATAAAGATCCAGAACCTGGCCTGAAGAGTTGCTTTTACTCTTTAGTTTTATTATGGTGTGAGCCATAAATCTCAAACCAGGCTGGTAGCTGTCTAGCAAGAAGATGTGCTAATAAATTGAGCAGGAGCATGCTTCAGCTTGCTAGCAGCTGTGTGCTGCAATGCCTGCGTGCTGTTCGGAGCAAGGGGGAGAGTCCTAGTCTTCCCACCCAGCTCAACAGTTAGATGCCCTGGGCAGATTCTTTAAAGACTGTTTCCAGGCCAGAAAGCAGTGGGCTCTGCTGAAACTTCGATGCCAAAGCCAAGTATCCATGAAAGTCCCCCAAATTGTTGCTCTTTCTGCTTTTTGGTACAAAGCTGGAGAGGACACTCAGGTTTTGGCAAACCTGCACAAGGCTATGCATTTAGTTAGACTTGTCTTATCATAGAAGTTTCTATGAATTTGCTACCTGGAACATACAATTCTCTTATTCTTTTTTTTTTTTTTAAAGATTTATTGTATTTATTTATTTATACAAGCACTGGGTACAGTCAGAACCGCGGGAGGGTGAGAGAATTCACCAGAGCCAGAGCGGGGAGCAGAGCAGGCAGAAGGACTGAAGTACACTGCTGAGGGGAGCAGCGGGTGGCAGGAGAGGTCTGCGCGCCATGTGGGACCCTCCTCCGGTGGCCGGGGAGCAGCCGGGGATCGAACCGGCGCCACAGAGGCCGTGGGCAGCTTCGCAACCCAGCGCTCAACCGCTGCACCACCGGGGAGGCCCTCTTATTGATTCTTCCTGAAAAACCTTGCGTTAAGGTCTTGTGGAATTGCGTAGATAATGGTTGAAATGCAGTAATTCTGAGAGGAGAAAACACCTCATTCTGGGAAATGTTTGCCTTCCGCAGAGTACTTGTGAAGCCAGCTCATTTAATTAAAATTCTTCTGGACTCTGCCTTGGTATCATTTCTATGCAAGACTTCGCCATGGGGAATGGCTGTTATAACATGATGGCTGCTGTGCTGTTGCTGATGAATTTCGAGAAGACAAGGGCAGTGCTGGACTACTGCAGCAAATGTAAACCTGGTAAGACCCCAATTCACGTGTGTGTTGGACACATGGCCCAACTAGTCTACGGTCAGGGCTCATGAGTCCATGTTATTTTTCATTCACACATTTACAAGTATTTCTTGGGTGCTTCCTCCCAGCTGTGTGAACGTCACCATGCCACGTCATACCTCACTGTCCTCGTCTCAGGATAAGAAGATGATCCTTCTCAGGGGGTTGCCTGATGGGCTTAGAACAGAGTGTGGCCTGCCAGGAGTCTTCAGGGGTAGCTCTGTGTAAGCACTGTGCTTAGACTTGGCATGACAGCAAGAGGCAGGTGGCGGGAGGCAGAGGGGATGGGAGGCAGCTACATGTCACCTTTGGTCCATCTGGGAAAGACGGTCACCGGCCCCCGGCACTAGTGTTGTCATCCCCGGGGTCCATCAGAAATCCTTTCTGCTTTATTCGATATGTAAGGGACACTCTTTTCTTTCTGTTGAGGTATTGTTGCGATATCTGTGCTGTGTTGTTTCTGATTCTGCAGTTATGCTAAGGATAATCCTGGAAGTGCATCATTTAAAAAAGTCAACAAACAAAATAAAGTCTATCACTGTGGCATCTAGAAAAGGAGCCATCATTTCACAGTCCAGTTTGGTCAGGGACATCAGTTTGGCCGGGGACATCATGCTGCTCTGGGTGGTCATGTCCACTGTCAAGCCTGCAGCCACTGTCTACCCTTTTAGGTACTTTCTGTATGGAAACCAACCAGACTTGCGGGTACTGTCCTGAAGATAGTTTCTCCAGCACCGCGGGACAGAGGTCCTGTAAACCATGCAGGTCGTGTGTAGGTATGTTTTAAAAGATGTATTTTTCGTGATTTGAAAGATGTATTTTGGATCCAAATACATGCTGGGCGACCAGCTCTTGTTCCCTGGTTTCCTGATTGCTAGTGAACCCCGAAGGCTCATGGGCGCCACTTCCCCTGCCAATGGCAGATCCAGTAAAACGATGTTCTGGAATGGCCACCATATGTGGCTGGAGCTTTCCAAATGCCAGGAGACGCTATCATCTGACCAGAGAGATGTTTAACTGGGCGAATGGGAAAGTCTCCTCCATGGACAGGGACTTTTCCTCATGGCCACGGGGCCGCTGTGAGTGGGCGGAGCGGGGTTTTCATTGCAGGGCAGAGGTTGGCACTTTGGATCCGGAGAGCAAGGGCCGTCTAACGCAAGGGCTTTGCAGGGGTTTTCAAGGTCAAGAAGGCTTGCTCTGCAACCAGCGACACAGAGTGCGAGTGCACCGAGGGGTACCGCTGCCTGGGGGCTGAGTGCAACATGTGTGCGCCCAGCTGCCAGCCAGGTGGAGGAGCAGCCGGAGCTGGTGAGTCCGCGGGTCCGCAGCCTGGGGTGTCCTTCGCGTCGGCCTTGGGCTTTCCATAATAAAGTAAAAGTAGACTTGAGAGACTTAATTAACAGCTCAGGAGCCCCTGAATCAAGTCGATGGTTATTTCCACAATTATTTTCCAACTGATGGAAATAATAATTATTTTCCAACTGATGTTTTCATGACCAGAAAGTTATGAAATGATGACGCTTCCTTCTAAATCAAGGCTTTATTTTTTATGCCAGATTGTAAAGATGGTGGCGTGGCTTTTTGGCTTTGCTTTCAGACTAGTGTTTCAGAAGAATTTACTCAAATCCTCACAGGCTTCCTTTCCTTTTTACCTGACAGTCGGGGGAAGTGGGGGGCTTAAAAGTTCCACAGAGAGTAACAGATGCCTTTCCAATAATAAAATCTGGTTTTGGGTTTCGTTAAAAATTGGGTAGGAAATGGCAGGTAGATTCCACTACATCTCAGTAAGTTTCCTCACCTGTCCTAGATTATGTGAACATTGTGCTATTTTATTGTGCTAAAATAGATACAACACACAATCTGCCATTGTAACCATGTAGGCGACAGCTCAGCGGCCTCCAGCACAGGGACACGGTTGTGCCGCCACCTGCCACCGCCTCCCCCCACATCCAGACTAAAGACAAAGAGAGTCTTTATCTTCTCACCTGATGCTCTATAACCACCCCTTCCCCCACCCTGTCCTCGACAGCCTCCATCTACTCCTAGATAGCTTTCTGGTTGAGTTTCTCTTCACTTCCCAAAGGGAGAGCTCACTGCTGACTAGGAATTGCTTCTCCCTGTGCAAACCCTCCTGCATAAACGTGACCAAGTTTCTTGCAAGTGAGCTAAGAGAAAGTGGAGTTGGATAAGGTCAAGAGGCAGAGGCACTGGAAGGGTTTCCCTACAGGGCCTCCATCCGCCTGCCTCAGCAGTCCTGCCAGGGGTCTGCCCGATTCTCTCACATCTAGATGGTGACCTAGCGAACCATTTCCACCTGGTAGATGCCACCTGTCACAGGTACCGCTGGCACTCAATGCCCTCAATGAGCCTTATCCCTGGTGAGGATTCTGCTTAGGGTCCTGTGTGCACCATCCACGTTCCCTTCCTGTGCCTCACAGCCCTGCCATGAACTCCAGATGTCTTGCCATGATCTGAGCTTTAAGTCTTCACCCTGCAGGAGCCTGTGCCCAGGGCACCCAGCTGAAGCCCAGCCAAGACTGCGGTTTCGGGACATTCAGGGATTCGAGACATGGCACCTGCAGGCCCTGGACAGAGTATGTATCATTTCCTTCTGCTGAATACAATTAAGATTCTGGGTTGAACTTTTTTAAAGACAAGGAGCGTGATCATGGATGCTTTTCACCACCTCTCAGTGTAGACGAGGATGACATGCTGTAGGGAGAGTGGGGACATACGAGGCGCCGGGGCCTAGTCTGCAAAGTCGTATTCTCACCAGAGTGTCCAGGTCGGGCCTGCCAGTGGAATTTTTCTACCACCTGCTCCCCTCGGGTTCTTTTTCTTCCAATCCCCGCAGCTTTCACTTCCCTCCTTGATCAGCCCATCTTCAAGTGTTCCATGTCAATGCTAAGAGTTATATAGAAGAAGAGTAAAGTATGTTTCCTAATTTCAAAAACATAACTTGTGCTCAGACAAACGAGACCATCGCAAGTAAGGCACCAGCTACACAGGGACATTCCTGTTGACACGTGTGACCTGGACAGGTCACCCACAGCCCCTGTGTGGTGTCCTTGCTGTTCATGGTGAGGGTCCTGCAGGCCTGAGAGTGTTCAGCAAGTTTTAAGGCAAGTTGGCAAAGTCATGTGTGTCCACCAGCTCTAATAATAACATTGAGGTCTTGTATTCTGTCCATCTTTGTGCTTTCTCATTTGGTTTTACCAGAAAATAACTTTTATTGTTATTTTTCCATTTGCTTTTTTATTGTTTTATGAACATATTGGTTTGTAGAAAATTGGAAAGTTTTTTAAAAAAGGATTTTTAGCACAAATAGTTGTGAGCAGTCAAGTGAGGCTTCATGGAAAGTGGAATTGAACCAGGTTTTGGAGAATAGAAGGAAAAGACATGAGGATAAAGGTGATGAAGACAACATGAGGATGATGGTGGGGGTGGGGTGGGGGGTGATGCTGATGATGGCCACCATTTACTGGGAGTGAGTCAGGCATGTGACAGTGTGGCACTGGGTTGTTGTTTGGTCTTTGAAACGGTCCTGGGGCATGAATAGTTCATTTTCCAGATGAGAAAACTAAGACTTAGAGAGATTTCCTAAGTTGTCCTCGGTCACTCTGCAAAGAAACACTCTGCTCAAGCCCAGGTCTGCCTGATGCCAGCACATCACAGGGCTGGAGTCCTAACCTTCTACCAACTTCTCTGCCCTCCACATGTGCTGGAGATGCTCAGATATGAGAGACTAACCAGGCAAAGCAGCCTGGACTGAGCTGGGGTAGGGTCAGGCTCCCATGCTGGGAAGACAGAGGAATGTGGCTAGGTGGGCAGTGCAGTTAGGAAAAGCTGGAGGAAGCCAGGTGGTCAGTGCAAAATTTTCAGAGTACCTTGGCATTGCCTGTGAAGCGAGACCCACACGTCTTTGTCACCAGGGTGTGTTACTGAGCGGAAAATGTTAATGTTTTTAATCTGAATGATCTGTACCCAAATTAATGTCTTTAATCAGAATGATCTGTACCAAAATTAATCATCTGAACTATTTTTTTTTTTTTTTTTTTGGTGGCTGTCTTAAGCTGTTCTTTGGCTGGAAAGTCTGTGCTCGTGAACGGGACCAAGGACAGGGATGTGATATGTGGCCCACCCTTGGCCGGCCTCTCTCCAGGTACACACACCTTCCTTGTCGTGCCTGCCTGGGGGACAAGCCAGGTGGCTGGTTCATTGCTCTTCAGGCAAAGTGAATACACCACGGCTCCTCCTGGTGGTCTCCGATTCAGCCCAATGGCACCTCTGCTTGCAGCAGGCACCCCCGGCGTGCTCTGGCCGTATCCTGACTTCAAGGGACCCATCAGTTTTTCTCAGGCACTTGCCACTGATAAGCGGAGCAATGTGAGACTTAACCCAAACATATACTACAAAGGGGAGTCAAGAGCCCTTATTTCCTATTGGTAGAAAGCCAAACGTCTTATGGGCCTCTAGGAATAGTACTATGTTTCCTTGACCTACAGGCTAATTTACGAAGCCAGCTGGCTGGCGAGGCCCAAGGACCTGCTTCTCCTCGGGCTTGGGGTGACAGGTGACATATAAATGCAGCTGCAAAGTGCTGTTTCTGCATTTCTTCTTTTGCTTTTCTTCAAAGGTCACATCCCCCGGATCGTGATCGTCTTTCTTGCACTGACGTCAACCATGGTGCTGGTCCTGCTGGTCCTCTTTGCACTCCGCTTCTCTGCTGTTAAGCACAGCAGAAAGAAAATCCTGAATATGGTCAAGCAACGTAAGATTAATATAAGCGCTTTGGAGGTGAACTCTTTGGGGGCCAGGCTTTCACAGAGCAAAAGAAAGGATGGTTTTTCTTTAAGTCAGAGAAATTAGGGTAGACTAGCACAGTGGTTATCAAGCAGGGGCAGTGTTGCCCCCAAGGGGACACTCTACTCATGGGGGAGGTCAGAGACGCAGCTAAACATCCCATAATGCACAGTAAAACCCCCCAACAGCCATCCAGCCCCAAGTAGCAATAGTGCCGAGATAAAGTATGGGATCCAGAACTTGGTCCAATGTTTCTATAAAGAGGACAGTGTAAGTCCTGGACAGCTGTGTGTGTCCACTCAGTTGTGCACAAAGGACGTTCGCAATACGGAACCAGAAAATGACATTTGTTCCATCTAGTGCCGCTCCCCCAGCTGACAAAGAAATAGCCTTAGCCTGGGGTAGCCCCACAGCTTGAGAAGGCATCATGAATCAAAAAGGAGTTTCAAGCGGGTTAAATAAAATGGATCATTATAACACGAATCTGGATGAAAAGGAGACTGCAGGAATGGATTCAGTCATTAAACAAGACACTATTTCTATAAGGAATTCAGCGAGTGTCTGGCACTCACTGAATGGAAGCTGTTACCAGTTATTCCGAAAGTTTGTCGATAGAGCCGTCGAAAACCAGGGGGCCCTGCTAAGGGGGGCTGTGCTTGGAGGGATGCTCCGAGCCCTGGGAGGGGACCTGGAAACGCTAAGACTGCAGGGTCCACTAGGAGGTTGTTGAAAAACTTATGAAGGAAAGTGTCGGTAAAGTCCCGCCCTTGGAGGCACCATGCTGATTTGCATAAGGTTCTTTTGAAAACAATATAAAACCTGCATGTGCCCCAGGGCTGGGGAGATCGGGCACCTTTTCTCATTACCTTGACCACTTGGATTTCTTTCCTCTTTTGCTAAATGCCTGATTTTTTGAGACCTTTCCCCGGGGCTGTCTGTCTTTTTTCTTTTTATTATTACAAGCCGACAGGAGAGCTTTAGTCTGCCATTCATATTCATGCAAATCTTCTCCCACTCTGTGGGTTTCTTTTTGATTCTCTTTTGCGATCTGAACCTCTGGTTTAAACCTCTACGCTTGAACCTACATCTCTGATTTAAAGAACTATCCCTCCTCATCTTCACCCCAGCTGTATTAGTATAGGTTTTATCAAACGCTTTTCAAAAGTATTTATGAGTAATTAGTGTCTGGCAATGGAACTATAATCCACTAAAAGAATTTAAATTAAAGATTTATTTTATTTATTTATGCATACAAGAACTGGGGTGTAGGCAGAAGTGCAGGGAGTAAGAGGATTCACCAGAGACAGAGTAGGGAGCAGAACAGGTGGATCTACTGAAATACACTGCTGAGGGGAGCAGTGGGGAGACAGGAGAGGTCTGCTGCGCCATGTGAGTAGTTCCCTGGCTGGGGATCAAACTCAGGCTGCAGTGGCTGCTGATAGCTTCACAGTGCTGAGACTTTAATCCCTGCACCACCAGGGAGGCCCCTATTTTTTTTAATATAGTTTTTTTTTAAGATTTTATTTATTGATTTATACAAGCACTGGGTACAGTCAGAAGCGCGGGAGGGTGAGAGAATTCACCAGAGCCAGAGCGGGGAGCAGAGCAGGCAGAAGGACCGAAGGACACTGCTGAGGGGAGCAGCGGGTGCGGCAGTAGGGGTCTGCGCGCCATGTGGGACCCTCGCCGGTGGCCGGGGATCGAACCGGTGCTGCAGAGGCTGGGGGAAGCTTTGCAGCCCAGCACTCAACCACTGTGCCACCAGGGGAGGCCCCTATTTTAAGACTTTTTGGAACTAGACTCTTGAGGCATTAAAAATACATTTTTTAAAGCAGTTTTGGTTTGGTTTTGATATCAGTGATGCTGATTACTAACATACATTGGGGGATGTCCCTTCTTCTATTTTCTGGGAAAGAATTAATTCTTCTTATTTTGGTTGGTAGAATTCTCTTATGAAACTACCTGGACCATTGATTTTTTTTTTTTTTAAGATTTATTTGTTTATACATACAAGAACTGGGGTACAGGCCAGAGACAGAGCGGGGAGCAGAACAGGCAAAATGGAGAGAAATACACTGCTGAGGGGAGCAGAGGGGAGACAGAAGAGGTCTGCTGCACCATGTGGGTAGCTCCCTGGCTGGGAATTGAACCCACAGCTTCAGTGGCCGGGGACAGCTTTGTAGGTTGCATCTTAACACTTTGTGCCACCAGGGAGGCCCTGGACCAGAGATGTTCTTTTTGGAGCTTTACATTTACAAATTCAATTTCCTTAATAATCGCAGGACTTTTCAAGTTATTTAATTAATGTTGAGTGATTTGGGGTAATTTGTGTTTTTGGCTGAACGTGTCCACTTCATCTAAGTTGTCAAATTTAAGTATTTTAGTTCTTCATCGTATTTCCTTATTACTTTGGTCTGTGGGGTCTGCAGTCATAATGTCACAGGCAGGGGAGGGGGCCTGGGGCCCCTCAGCCTGATCTCAGCCTCCCCCACAAACAGGCAGATAAACTAGCAGCACCCCAGCTGCCAGGAGTCAGAGGGAGGGACTAGGGGTCCCGCCCCCAACAGGCAAGGGCTCTTGAGACCCTCTGGTCGGGATTGAAAAGGGGCCCCCACAGACACCTGTGAGGGCAGGCAGGGAGTCGGGCTTTGTTGATTAGCAACAGGCCACAGAGAGAGCACCCAGGGGACACCTCCCTGGGCATGAGAGCGAGACTCCTGGAGGAGCCGGGGCTCAGGGTCAGTGTTAGTTTTAGGATTGCTGATTGTGACACCAACAGCTGCAGCTTTGGGGGAGGCAGCGTTCATGTTCATCCTTGAGGTGACCGTCTCGGGAGGCTGTGTGTCTACACTCCGCACCGAGCCAGGCTGGGCTTGAGGTCTGTGGTCTTCTGGTCTGTCACTCCCTTCCCCCATAGTAGCCTACATGGTGAGTTGTACAAAGACAGCTCAGAAACAGTAAAACAACAGCAACCAGCGAAGGAAATGTAGGGCAACAGATGCCTGGGCCTGGGGTCATCAGGTTTTTAACCCCTTGTTTGCCAGCCCATGGGGACAGCAGATTTTTTGACCTTGGTTCCTGTCCTGTCCCATTTCCTATCCTGGGGCTCTTCCTGTCTCAGTGTCACCTACTGATACTGGTCACGTGTGCATTCACTCTTTTTTATTGTCTTGGAATTGGTATGACTCTGCCAATTTTATTGATCTCTTCAAAGACCCAGCTCTTTGTTTCATTGATCTTCTCTACCGGTTTTCTGTTTTTAGTTTAAAGACTTGCTGCTTTTACCTAAAATTTCCTTCCTTCTGCTTTTTCTGGATTTATTTTGTTCTCCTTTTTCAGAATATTATTGCATATATATGTTACATACTGATATCCTATATTATACTATTATATCAGCTTATATTATTGGTTTGAGACTTATTATCTTTTTAGTGTAAGCATTTTACATTATAAATTTACTTCTCAGGACTGAATTAGGTGGATCCTACAAATTTTGATATGTTGCTGTTCTTTCATTTTTCATTCAGTTCAATGCATTTTTGTTTTTCCTTGAAGATTTCCTCTTGAACCCACTGATGATTTAAAAAGATGCTTTTTTAGTTTCCAAGTATTTGGTGATGTTCCTGTTTTCTTTCTCCTACTGACATCGAGTTCAATTATACGCTGTATGATTTCAGTTCTTGTAAATTTGTCAAAATTTGTTCTGTGGTCCAGAATATGTTCTATGGACACCTGAAAATAAAAGTGCCTCTTCTGTTGGGTGAAGTGTTTCTATAAATATTGATTAGAGCCTCTTGATGGATGAGGTTGTTGAATTCTTCTATGTATTTGCTAATTTCCTGTCTAGTTTTTTTCTACCAACTGTGGGAGAAGGTCATTTAACTCCAAATATGGTTGTTTCTCTTCTCAGTTTTATCAAGTTTTGCTTCACCTGGTCTTCAGTTCTGTTGTCTGGAACATACGCACTTAGAATTGTTAAGTCTTCTTGGTAAACTGACTCTTTTATAATTATCCAATATCCCTCCCTGTGTCTGGTAATTTCCTTCATGCTGAAGTTGACTCTAGCTGATGTTAATGGAGTCACTCCTGCTATTTAAAAAATATGAACATATTCATGGTAGATCTTTTTGCATCATTTCACTTTCAAGCTCCCTACATTTATATTTGAAGTGAATTTTTTGGAGACAACATATAGGGGTCACTCTGCTAATCTCTGTCCTTTAATTGGTATATCTAATCTGCGTATATTTAATATAAACCTTTTATATGTTAGAGCTTAAGAAACCATTTTAGTTTTTGCTTCCTGTTCTGTTGCTCTCTCTTGCTTCCATTTCTTTGTTTCTCTTTGACGACATTCTTAGAATAACAAGTGACTTTTGATTGAAACCTAGACATGTGGGGTATGATGTTATGACTCTGGATCTAACTGAAAGCTGTTATTTCCTCAAGTTTTCCCTGATGGGGCTCCATGGCGGGGGTGGGAGTTGGGGGGTGGGTACTGCCTTGTTACTGCCAGGCAGGGGTGGAAGTCCAGGTTGATAGCTGACCCTGGGGCTGAGGGGCTCCCTGCTATTGCTAGACATGTGTGGGGGGTTCAGGCTCCCCACTGAGCTTCTGCTGACACTACCTTGAGATGAGGAAAGGCACTGTATTACTCTTTCCCATGATCCTCACTGACATTGAAGGGGTGGGGATGGGGGGTGGCCTCATGACTGCTGGGCAGTGATGAAGTCCTGGCTCCCCACTAGTCCTCCTTGACACCGGCCCCCCTGGGGACAGGGAGACGAGCCTTGATGCGGTTTGGCAAGAAGGGAAGCCCAGGCTCTCTGCCTGGCCTTGGCTGGTGGGCTTGGGTGTGGAATCACAGTTTTTTTTTTTTTTTTTTTCTGTTTTCTGCTAGGGTAGAGTGATTCTTATCTAAAAGTTTCAGCTTTCTCTGTACCTCCTTTCCTGATTATGCAGCAAGAGAGAGCAGCCTTTTTCTGGGGCTTTTTTTTTTTTTTTTTTTTTTTAGTTCACACCCACTGGCATTTCTAGGCTGTTGACTTCTCCAGTTCCCAGCCTGGGCATATGAGGCAGAAAGAAAACTCAGGGAACTTGTGGCCATGTTGTCCCCTTGGGCCCCAAGATCCCACCTTCTGTTCACCTTTCAGGTGTTTCTGTTGATTGTTACATGTACAATGTCCATAGTTTTTGGTAGCAATTAACAAAAAGGCGAATGTATGACTACTTCACCTTCCCTGAAGCATATTCTCTCCTAAAAACTAATCTCTGATGCTATTTCAAATGAAAGATTTCCCATCGGTAGTTCTGAATATGTTTCCAGCTTCTCATATGTTTTTGGAGATAGCACAGTAGTTGGGTTTTGGCTATTTCTTATACTAATAAGCACAAAAAATGGCTTTATCTGAATCGGAAATATCTGCTAGGGGGCCTCCCTGGTGACACAACGGGTTAAGTCTCAGCACTATGAAGCTATCAGCAGCCACTGCAGCATGAGTTCGAGCCCCGCCAGGGAGCTACCCACATGGCACAGCAGACCTTTCCTGTCTCACCCGCTGCTCCCCTCAGCAGTGTATTTCAGTTGATCCGCCTGTTCTGCTCCCCACTCTGTCTCTGGTGAATCCTCTAACCCCCCACATCTCTGGCTTACACCCCAGTTCTTGTATGTATAAATAAAAAAATCTTCTTTTTTAAAGAAAAATATTAGCTTAGGATTGAAATTTTCTCAGCAGTAACACAAATACTTTACACCAAATGCAAAAAATAAACAAACAACAAAAAAAAAAAAAAAACACCCCAAACTGGAAGTTAATGCATAAATCAGTCCTTAATAAGAGGTGGAAATAGTGGGAGTATCTTTAAAGTTGTGATGTTATAGCTTTTCATTCAAAAGAAACTGTCTAGTGTGTAATCCAAGTAATCTTCCAGGCCAAAGTATGTGCTGCATTGAGACTACAGTCATATTTGGGAGATAATTAATATTAAGGTAGAATGATTTGCACTCAAGACTGTTTTAACCATTGGAGAAAATAGTTTTTCAGGACCAACAAAATATTTGGCAAAAGGAAAAAGAAATCTTAAATAGTCCCAAGAAAAAGTTCATAGTTGCCTTTAGGTCTTTTTGATGAGTTAAGATAAAAATCTTTGCTAGTAAGCGATGTTCTAGGGTTGTGATTTATGGACAGTGAGTGTGAAATACTCAAAACAGACAAAAGATAAATGCCTTTTAAATTACTTTTTAGCATTTATGAAACCAGTACAAGTTGCCCAAGAGGAAGATGGCTGCAGTTGCCGATGTCCCGAGGAAGAAGAATATGAAATATGAAGTGGAAATCCCAAGATCTACTGGGACTGCCTCCAGGAAGAATTAACAGAGAAATCCAAGTGACTCCACTTTCATCCTTCTAAACTGAAAACGCCAGCCTGGATAAGACCCAGTATCATCCTGAAAAGATTTGCTTTCTAAATGCTATCGAATTGGCTTTGAAAAATGCACCACTTTGAACAGAACGGGGACAAAGCTGATGGTCAGGGGGCATTTTCTAGATATGATTGAACAGGTTTGGGTTATTTATATTAATTTTTTGAAATCCAAAGAGAATTATATTTTAAATTTAACCACATAGGCCAATGGTGCAGCTAAAATGGTAGTCAAAATCAGTCCCCCTTTTTTGGTGCTAACATGACAAGCTGTAAAAGGCAAGGTACATCCCCCCCCCCCACCAAATCCCCACTGATTCAGTCACTCGGCTCCACTGGCAGTGGAAGATGATGGTGCCTGAGGTCAGGGACAAGGGCAAGAAACGGCAGGCCTTGAGGAAGCATTGTGGAGAGAGGTCAGATGTCTTTGCTGTCCTGTGGTCCGCCCCATCCTCATGTCTTCTGCTTCTGCCTTGCTCTCTCTGAGCCAGAGCTTACTTTTTAAAAAAACTCTTAAAAACATAAAAAAAAAAAAAAAAAGTTTGCTACACACCAATGCATGAATGAAATGTACATGTAAAGTATAAAACACAGTCAGAGGATGGCCACCTGGGTCGCAGCCCAACCGGAGCACTCAAGCGTTCCCAGACACCCCAGGCCCCCTGCAAAGCTGCAGACGCTGAGCGCCTCCATCTAGCTTCTGAGCTAAGAAGGGCGTGTATGTGTTTAAACTGCTGAAATTGAGTCAAAATTAAGAATACTATCTCATGACATGCAAAAGCACTTGAAAATCAAGGTTCTGAGCGGAGTCCACTAACTAAGTTCTGTTGGGCCACACAGCCCGCATAGGCGGCCTTCGCCGCTGAGCTGCGTAGATGTGACAGAGACTGGGTCGGAGAAGCAGAAATCAATTACTACTCCACCCTTTAGAGGGCCAAAGTGAAGGCCGGCGCGTCCATCTGCGGGCCCCTTCCCTGCCTTGTCTTCTGCTTTCCTCCCCACCCAACCCAGGCTACCCCACTTGGGAATAGTGAATTTGTCCTTCATTGCTTGGGAAGAAAAAACATTTAACTACTGATTATATAACCTAAGACTGTGTTTAGTTTAGTTTGTTTTCCAGATTTATAAAAATGGTGTCGTACTATGGGAGGACGCCTGTGACTCGCTTTCACCACTAAAATTATATTTATGAGACTTACTTTTATCCCTGTATGTAGCTGGAATGCATTCATGGGAACACTGTCGAATTTTGTAGCTGTAGCATAATTTATCCATTTTGTATCAAAGGAGATTTGGGTTGTTTCCAGGTTTTTTTTTTTTTTTTTTTTTTAATAGAGGCATGTTTTTATTTATTTGTTTGTTTGTTTTGTTTATACAAGCACTGGGTACAGTCAGAAGCACGGGAGGGTGAGAGAATTCACCAGAGCCAGAGCGGGGAGCAGAGCAGGCAGAGGGACCGAGGTACACTGCTGAGGGGAGCAGCGGGCGGCAGGAGAGGTCTGCGCACCATGTGGGACCCTCCTCAGGTGGCCGGGGAGCAGCTGGGGATCGAACCGGCGCCGCAGAGGTCGCCGGCAGCTTCGCAACCCAGCGCTCAACCACTGCGCCACCGGGGAGGCCCCTGTTTCCAGGTTTTTTGCATTATGAATAATGTTGCCAGGAATGTGCTTTTATGTCTCCCAAGAGAGGCCATCACTAGGGAAACTGCAGAGTGGGACTTCTGGGTCTTGGGGCACAACAAAGCTCACCTGTGCGAGCTGGAAGCTGTAGCAGTAAGGATATGCGAAGTTGGGCAGGTATAACTAGTGACCCCCCCATCTGAGTGGGTTACAATGAAACAGGAGAGGTGCACTACTCACTGTTGCAAGCTGACCCCCTGTTGCCCTGTGTTATTTCCCCCTGGGACTTAGGCGGCAGGAGCAGTAACTGCTTCTTGGAGAACTGCTGTCTCCTTAAAGGGCTGCACATCACTTCGCTCATATTTAGCTGATGGCAAGCTGCGCAGCCAAGCTGGGCATCCTTTAGGCAGAAAGTGTAGTTTCTGCCCAGAGGGGGGCAGGAAATATTTCTGACAATAAAGGTCTATTGTGAAGCCCAAGTGCTTTCCAGTTGGTTGTCCTAATGTGCTCCGGGCAGCATGTGTGAGTCCCACGGGCCCCTGCCCTTGTGTTCCTGCCACGATCAGACTCTCAGTCTCACCAGGCTATGGGTTAATGTGGCCTCTCACGGTCGTCTTATTTTGCACTTGCTCAGTTACCCTGAGCATCTTGTCACATTTTTATACCGTGTGTGCTTCTTTTTCATGAAATATTTGCTGTTTTAAACTACAAACTAATTGATATAGGTTTAAACTATAAACTATTGATAAACTATTGATAACTATTTAAACTATAAAACTATTGATATAGTTTTAAACTATAAACTAATTGTCTAATTGATTCACAGAACTTCTTTATATATTCTAGGTACTGAGCTCTGGTCACTGACATGTGTTATAAATATCTGCTTTGCTTGTCATTTGTTCTCTTTTTTGTTTGACTTTCTAGTAATAATCAAGAAATTTATTAATTTAATTTGATTAAGTTTATAACCCTTTTCATCTATGGCTAATGTTTGTTGTTGCTGTTCCCAAGTTAAGTAAGTCCTTCCCTACTCCAGTACCATAAAGATCTTTCTTCACATTTTATTCTCAAAGTTTTAAGTTTGGTCTTTCGTATTAATCTATTGGGTGTGACTTTGTTTATATAGAGATCCAAATTTGAGTTTTGTACCTGGATAATCACGAGTGTCATTTTTCAATGGCCCGTTCTTGCCCCAAAGATCTCATCATTCATCACCTCAGTATATTCCCTGGTCTGTTTCTGGGCTACCTAGTCTGTGGTCAATTTGTCCTTGTGCCAGTGGCATGCTGTTTTTGTTACTATAGCTTTAGAATAGAATAGTCTTTGATACCTGGTAGGGTAAGATTTTAATGTCCTTCAATAGGGTTTTTTAAAAGTTCTCCAGAAATTGTGTATCTTTTGAGATTTGTTTCAAGGCACTTTGCTTTATTTTTGCTTTTTAAATGGTTGTGTTTGCTGTTGGAGTCTACATGTGTAGCTGATTGACCTATATTAGTTTATAGCCAGCTTCTTTGCTCACCTTTCCTATTACTTCTAATAATATGTATGCTGATTCTCTGGGATTTTCTATATGGCCAGTCATGTTCTTTTCTTTTTTTTTTTTTTTTTAAAGATTTATTTATTTATTTATACAAGCACGGGGTACAGTCAGAAGCGCAGGAGGGTGAGAGAATTCACCAGAGCCAGAGCAGAGAGAACAGGCAGAGTGACGAAGTACACTGCTGAGGGGAGCAGCGGGTGGCAGAAGAGGTCTGCGCGCCATGTGGGACCCTCGCCCCGCGGCCGGGGATCGAACCAGCGCTGCAGAGGCTGCGGGCAGCTTCGCAACCCAGCGCTCAACCACTGCGCCACCAGGGAGGCCCCAGTCATGTTATTTTCAACAACAATAATTTATTCCTTTTCTGGTTCTTTGTCTTTTATTTCTTGATATACTTCTTGACTTGTTAGGACCTCAGATACAATATAACAGTCAATGCAACAGTGTCATACCTTATGGAATAAATTTTTTATCTTATTTAAGGTGGATACCTTCCATTTTTTGGTAAATAGACTTGATCAGGTTAAAGAAGTTCCACTCATTTCTGGTTTGTGTAGTTTTTATTTGAAAATCATGTGTGTTGCATTTTTGTCAAATGATTTTTTTCTGAAAAACAAAAATACTTGACAGCAGATGACTGAGCCTGCGGTTCTGTCATCTTTGATTTAATCTAAAGTTCAACAGTGTTCCAAGAAAATTACTGCCCGCAAGAAACTTCTTGGAATAGTAGATATTCTCCCCCTCCTCTTTAAAGCATTTTCTTATGCATTGGGATCTGATGCAATTACATGGGTTCAGAAGGCCTTATCGTTTTAATTTAAATAAATGCAGTGACTTCATTTGATCTTTTTTCTTTACTATTTTATTGTGGTTTTGATATTATAGTAAAAGATGAAGCTAACGTTTACGGAGGGTTTTTTTTTAACTTTGTAAGAAATCTTGCCTGGCCTGTAAATTCTCCTCTTGGCATAAGACTGGCCCAGAGACACATAGAAAAGAAGAACCATCGAGACTAAACTTAGGCACATGGCCTGCCTTCAGTGGCTACCACGGTGCTCCCAAAGTTTTGGGGAGTCTGAGCAGGAAGCTTCCCACAAACATCTGCAGACTAGAATCCACGAGGACAAAAGAACGGCCATTTGTGGTGTGGTCTTTTTAAGTAGGAGGCAAAACAACATTTTGGGGTGTGCCGTTTGGAAACAGGGCCAGGAGGAGCCTCTCTTTTGCCTTTGAAGCCACAGCATTGTTAAATTCTCACAGCATCCTGGCACATCATCTGTTGTCCATCCACATACAGAAAAGGGCTGGTCACCTTTCACAGGCTTGGCCTCTCAACTGGATTCTCATTTGTCCCAGATTATAAACACAGGAAGTCCACCATTTATTCTGTTTATCTGACAGAAGCCGGGTCTGTTACCCTCTACAGCACTTTTATTATCATAACAGTCACTGATAAGAAACACCGGAACTTGGAATCTGAACAATCACGTTTCCTCTATGTGATGGTTAACAGAGAAAGGAAATTAAAACAGAAAAAAAGGATCCCCCTTAGGGGTTAATTTAGGAAACCTAATAATTAAGTTTTTTAAAGAGTTATTTATTTGTACAAGAACTGGGGTACAGCCAGAGGCGCAGGAGGGTGAGAGGACTCACCAGAGACAGAGCAGGCAGCAGAACAGGCAGACTGACCAAAAGCACTGCTGAGGGGAGCAGCGGGGCGACAGGAGAGGTCTGCTGCGCCATGTGGGTAGCTCCCAGGCCGGCTGAGAATCGAATCCACACTGCAGAGGCTGCGGACAGCCTCACAGTACTGCGTTCAACCCGCTGCGCCACCGGGGAGGCCCCAATAATTAAGTTTAATAAAAATTAATGCCAATTTCTATGGTCAAAATAAATGAGTATGTTTTGGGGATGTGCAAGTTGGAAACAGTTTTCTAGATGCTTAAAAACAGGCTTAGGTTACTTCTGAATCAAATTTTGATTTTCTTCTCTAGTGGAAGATACCACTCTGATGGAAACTTCTGATATGAGGGGCATGTGGCCCCTCAAGGCGTCTCCTCCTCTGCAGAGCAGTCTTTCCATTTGTGGGTGCATGGAGGCCACAGCCCAAGTGAGTGATGTGTGGTCTGTGTGGTGGGGTCAGAGAGTGATCTTGGCCATGTTTTTACAAAAGGACTTGATAATCTTCACAGGAAAAAAGGAATCACTAACAGCTGTTTTTTTTGAACCTCACATTACCAGTGCCACACCGAGCCATCAAGGCTAACGACAAAGTAACGTGCCCTCTGTGGTGAGCTAGACAGTTGAACTTCGGCGCCAAGGAGAGTGAAGTAGTTAGAGTTTGGGGTTCTTGTAAGTCACCTAAAAATGAATGCTGCTTTTATTTCAAGATTGATTTGGAGAGCTGCAATTTACACTAAATCAGTGAGGTTGTCCAAACATGTTTACAATTTGAAGAGGCTGATTCTGACAACCCACAGTGAATGAGCTCTTTCCAGGGGTCCTGCCCACCAGGACCCAAAGATGAAGGAGGCCCCTCCACCTGTGACTTTGAGTCAAGGGACTGACAGGTACTACGTGGTAAGAGACATGCTGTTACTGAGGACCTACTGTGTGCCAGGAATAGATCTTAAAGTAGTCCGGTGAGCCCTGCCCTCCTGCAGCTCCTGGGCCGGTGGGGGCATTCGGGAGCCCAGAGCCTGGGGGCAGGCTCATGCTGGAAGGGGTGGAAAAGGCTTCCGGGGATGATGAGGACAAAAGGGCTGAGTAAAAAATACTTAGTCAGGTTGTGTCTGTTCCAGAAGGAGCAAAGGCCCCAGGCAAGTGGGAAGGAGGGTGGGGGCTGGCTATGGAAAGGGAATGATGGAAGCAGGGAAACTGGAGTCAGAGCATTGTTAGTAAAAGGGCGTCCCAAATACTGCCCCGGGCATGTCTATACCGGGGAATAGTCATTGTTCACCTGAAATTCTGATTTGACCATGGGCATGCCGAGATTTTATTGGCTAGATCTGGCAAGCCTAGTTCACAGGGCAGAGAGATTTAGGCTCTCATGTAACTGGGGAGATCTGAGCCAGGTGGGGTGCTGGACGGGGATGGGGGGGTCTAGAGCGCAGGGCAGGAGGAGGGAGGCTCTCATTTTACCAGGAGGACGGGCCGGATGATGCAGATGTTGGT